CTGGAACCAATGTGAGCTTTTCATGGAGACAGCAGATAAATGCTATTTTGCCCTTGTCAAAGTAAATTCAGTCCAGCTTCACTGACGATCCACACTTTACAGAAGGTCCTGTTAGCTTTGACTAGCTCCTCTGCCAGGTAAACCTTGGACTGCTGTGCAGGAGCTGCTGTTGGGCTGCAGTGGGTGAGTCATGGGTTGAGCAGGGCGGTGCAGCACTGTCAGCAGCTTTCTGGGAATGGCGGTGTGCAGCAGCCCCTTGCTGATGGCTGTTATCAGCAAATATTGCCCTTTTGGATAGGGTAAGCAGAAAGCTGCTGGAAACCCAGCCTGTGTGGGCAGTGTCTGGTCGATGGCCTGCTTTCCTCAGAGGCATTTTGCAACTAAGCTATAGTGTCATGATCGAGGAAGACTGTCTAGAGCTTGACAGTTTTGCCTAGTCAGCTGATCTCTCCCTCCAGCTCTATCGCTTTTCTCAATCCCTGTTACTGTTCCTGGATTTCTAACCACGTATCATTCACTTTACTCGCCAGCAGCATTCCTTAACATCCCTGGGTTTTCTTCTCCCATGCAGACCTGTGCAATATTCAGCTCAGACTTTGGCCAAATCTGGAATTTCTTTTACTGGGCACACAGCTGTAAAAGGTTGCGGAAGGACTTTTAATGCTTCTTTGCTTTATAAAAGTGCCTGCAGGGTTCTGCTGTTGTAGAGCACCATTGTGATAGGTTTGTAAGGCAATATATACCTTGCAAAGAAACTACACTAAAAAAAGATTTCCCATTGTCGTTATACTTTCCTATAGTTGCTATCTTGTGTTAGTTGTACTAGAATCCTGCACACCCCCCTCCCCCCCAGTGTATTTGTTGCCAGAACAGATCTTTTGATACTTGGTTAGGTGGGCGTGTAAAAGTATTAGTGGTATAACTGTCTTAAGCTCAGGCTTTGGTCTGAGCTTAGGCAGTGTTCACACCTCTTCTTCTGGCCAAGTGTTTGTGGGCAGAAGGTAACTATCTACCATCCCTCTCCAGCCGCTTGTCACTGTTGTTTATTTGACTTACTAGTCTGGCATCTTCTCTTGGGCTGTTTAGGGAACGCTTGGAAGAGCAGCAGATCTGTTGGATTCAGCAGGGCTAGGTTTAATAGTGACCTGATGAGCCATGCAAGAGGGGCTTGGAGTGGTAAGCCCTTGAGTTGGTACAAATACAAAAGTGGATGTCTGAGCTCAGCCCAACACAGAAGGAAAAAATTTATAGTGTAGAGCTGGTAATAAATGAAGGCCTCAGCTCAAATAATTCACTTTAAAAGACAGCAATGACGATGTGGGTGTGAAACAAACTACTGATTACGTTAGTGTCTCCTAAACAGTTTTGGTTTTTTGTTTGTGTGTTGGGTTTTTTTTTGGTGTTTTTTGGTTTTTTTTTTTTTTCTGGGACACCATATAGAAGTGGGATTTAGATCTTGGCTCTGTGATCTATCATGTATCAGATGGATGAGGGTATTTCTAGTACATTAGATCACATGGCTACAGCTGTGGGGATATGCACCTTCCAACATCAGGCAGGTGGCAGAACCTCCTAATTCACTCAAATATTCATGTTTTTAGTGACTGCAAAATTAAGCACTTTGGTGATTTACAAAATATATGCACTTCATAGGAGTAGCTCCTTTGAGCTAGAGTCAGCTGTGCTGTTACATCTGGGCAGCAAATGACAGCAGTGGGTGAAGCAGCTCTGCTTTTGAGAACAGAATAACTTAGTTAGCTTAACTTGTGTGGTGTATTTTCTGGCTGTGGTTATAGTACTTCCATTTTCAGAGGCAGGACAGCTCCTGGTCCCTGCATTGTGCTCTATATGTTGGCAGAACTGTATGTGAAGACCCCAAGTCCTGTTTAAAACATGAGCTGATGAGCTACCAGTGACTAATAGAGAAGGTCTGCAGCCGTGTCCAGGGAAAAGTCACCCTTCCAAGTAATCTCCAGAATTCTGGGAAAGGGGTCCAAATCTTGGACCATAATCATAGAATTTATTTTTACGCAAGCTTTTGTCACGTAGCATTTGAAACCCTTAATTTTCCCTTATTTCTAGGAAGAGAAAGTATAAGTCAGTTTTCTTTCTCCAGGGCAAAACATCCTGACTCTTACAATGTATACTGATGCTTGCCCTGTCCTTTCACGAGCATCCTCTGTTATGGATATAAGATGATGCTCTGCATGCTCTGGTGTTTTTTGATTCTCTCATAATCTCCAGATGGGCAGATGGAGTGCTGCTTTTTGCTTGCAGAATATAGTTTTAATGAACAACGACTTCACTTTTCTCCTTGAGACATTCTGAAATTATCACTTGTGCTCAGCAAAGACTTTCCTGAGTCAGACTCAGGGAGAGCACTTTCCTTCTGCTGAGAGCCCCAAAGTGAAAGCTTTAAATTTAATAATCACTGTTTTTCTTTTCTATTTACTCTCTGCTTTTGAGAGCCTAAAGATTAAGTTCACATTTAAACCCAATTCACATTTTAGGCTTTGCTTCTAAATAATGAGGCACAGAACCTTCGTATTTAGTTTTACATGAAAGTTGAGATTCTTATGTTATAAGGACCTGGGACTTTAAGAAAACAGAAACTGTTTCAAGACTTGCAATAAAACCATGAATTTATGCTGAGTTTCAATTTGGAATATTATTTTTTGCAACTGTATAAAGCAGAAACTGATTTTAAACGGTCATTTGCATTCTGTAAGAGTTGGTTACTTATAAGGGAACCCCTCCTGCTCAGTGCTCAGAGTAAGACTTTCAAGTTATGGATCAGTTATTTAGGTAAACCACAAGCTAATGCAAATCTCCATTAAGTATTTCTGGTGATGAGTGAAGAGAAAAAAAATGGAAACAGAGAGAGAGTGTAAAACATTTATAGACCAGAAGATATTAAAAGGATCCAGCTTCTGTCTCTGACCTCTGATGCCAACAGCTATTTCTTAACTTTGTGCCATTTTGTTTGTAGGGGCAATCCTTGAAAACTTGCAGAGCTACCTATCCTCAACAGGTTCCTTAAAAGTCTTCACTGTCATTTTAACTTAAACAAAAAAGGAAAAAAAAAAAAGTAATGGTTAGGCTAGTGAGACCATTGTCTGTCTTATTGGCTGTCTCCTTTTTTCCTGAATTATTTGCATTATCCTTCTGCCGTCTTATATCTCATCCTTAGACTGTACGCTGTTTGGGACAGGGAGTGCCTTTTCCTTCTGGTTGTACGGCATCTAACACAGAATGATCCTGCTCCGTGACAATAGTTGTTAGATGTTATGGTCACATAAATAATACATACTGGTCTTGACATAGTTGAGCCTTTTGATCTGCTTTGGACAAAGCTTAATATGGGTGTGTGGGAGAGAGGTAGTAATTTCTTAGATACTAAAAGGTATACCATAAATCTTTCCTTTTGCAAGCTCCTTGATGGGCAGGAGGTTAAGGCTGTCTGTTTCTCTGTCCTCCTTGCTATGACACTCCCTATCTGTGAGTCAAAAAGTGCTGTCAAATGCTTGGCTGTCTCATAGCTTCACAGTGGGAAGAAAATATTTAATGAAGTCAATGGGAAAGAAGTTAGTGTGTATTAGTATAAAGTCAAGTATTTTAACCATTTCAGAGGTTGCTAGGTAAAGTGAATCGCCACATAGAATACAGTCATCATATATTTCCTGTTCACTATTTTAATTTCATGAATAAAGCATCCCATTCTTTCTGTTGTGAGCCCATTCAGTTTGCTGTGCAGCTTCTGCTATTCCATAACTTCAAACTACCTGTAGTCTGTGCTAGACCTGGCTCCTAATATCGTGGTCAAGTGTTTCTTAGTTGTTCTTAATAACACTCTTTTTCTCTCTGCTGGAATGTACAGCTGTAGTCATTAGCCCTTGTTGGACAAGTTAGGAATCTGGTCTTTAATTATATCAATTAAGAATAGTACATTAAAATTCTTGTCTACTTAGAAATGAAGCAGCTAGAGCAAAACAAGGAGTATTTATATTTTCCTAGAATGTTTCAATGATTTCAAATGGAAGGTTGTGGGGCTTGGATTTTATTTCTTTATTTCTTTATTATTGATTTCAAGTATCCAAATATTTACCACATTGGTTTTCTTGAGTGCTGTTCAGGCTTTATCCATAGGTGTTCTTTTGCCTTCGAAGTTTCTTATATAGTCAGTTAACACGTATCCCAAACAGGCTTTTAGATACCTAAAATGCTGTTAAAGAGCAAGCTAGGCATCTAAATTAAAAAGTGCCATGTTGATATTAATCTCTGTTCATCTGTTATTGTAACCTAACCCTGAGCTGCTGAAGTTTATGAACTTCCACATTTCCTAGACGCTATAAATCTCTTGCTACTTGCATGGTTTGAATCATCCCATTCTTCTTGGACTGAGCAATCTGGTCTATATCCATCTTAGTCTCTTTAGTGTCCCAGCCTGGTAGGAATTCCCGGATCATATCTCACTTGGCAACAAAAATGAGCACCCTCCAAAATGCAATGGCATTTGCAGAGGCAACATGCTGCTTCCATTCAAATGTTGTAGAGGCAGGAGCAGCCTGTCTTCTACAGCAGTGCAGTTTGGAAGGTTTCAGTCTGTGAATCTCTATGTGTTTGCAGGTCACTTGAAGGGGGCAGCGGAAGACGACTAACAGGGCAAGTTTAGCAATGTGATGCCTCCCATAATGGTGCAGAAAGTCTCACTGGTCTTGCGTTTCTCTAGCCCTGCAAAACATGGTGGGAATTTTATGCCGTAATACCACCAAGAAGGAGTTGTCTGAATGTTTCCAAGGTCACCTAAAAGTTTTCCACAGAGTGAGGGAAACAGTTGAAGGAACATTTCACATGCACAGAGGTCTGATGCAAGTAAAATAGCTGCTTCCTATTTTCCTTGCCACAAACCTTCTAGATTTTGGTGGTGGTGGCTGATATGCTGCCACTGCCCCATTATTCCTTTCACCCCTGGAGTGCAGGTAGTGTTAGGACTCCAGCATTAGTAAAAAAGCATATGCTTTTCCAATTACTGTTATTCAATCCTTTTTTCCTTGCCTATGCTGATGAAAATTTGGGAACAGCTGTAACAATCTTTCTCCACTTATGAAACATGGTATTGTCACAATAATGCTACCAGTCCTACCACTGGTCACAGCCATACCTGTCTCTACTGGGTGCTGTTCTTGTAAATTTTCAACTTGCCAGTTGATCTGGGACGCAAGATACACAGTGTGACTTGAATCCTAGATTGAAGCAGTGTTGTGAGTGAGAAATGTTTCAGTCTTACTCATCATTGTACTTTTCTTCAGAAAGGCAGAAAATTATTTTACAGTTAGTACAACCCAAATGAAAAAAGGGACCATTGTATCATTGCTACTTGGTCTGGAAAAAGAACATGTTGTATGGCCCAAATTGGAATGGGCTGCATAGTTACTGGATTCTCTGATGAAAATGCATACAGAAGAGTGGTTGCTATCTGCAGCAAAAAACATGGCAACAGAAATACTGAGTAGAAAGAAACTCACTTTAATATGTCTTTCAGATAATGTTGCTGGATGCCAAATTCAGTGGTTGAACACATTTGAAAACCTCTTACATATCAAATCGAAAGCAGATTCTGTTTTACCTTGTGGTTAGAGGAGTCCACAAATGTTGCTTCTCTCACTGATTTGCTTGAATATGAGAAATACGAGTTTGGAAAGACTTTTGTGTTTTGTTTTGATTCCATCTAACAATTTATGTGCAGAAGATACAAAAGAAAATAATATGAGAAGAGGTTAGTGCACTGGATTTATACTGGTGTTGTGGATTAAATGGTAGCCTTGGTTGTTCTGATTTGTAAGGTCCGTGTGGAGCTTTATCACAGTAGCAGCTAGTAAGGTGCCAGCCAACCCAAGAAGCATCTCGCTACATAAACTGCTGTTAGAAAAGGTGGATCTAATTCTATTTGTGTTGTGACTATTTATCTTCAAACTCTTTTTCAGAGTATTCCATTCTTTATTGCTTTTATTGGGCTGGAGTTTGCTGTCAGCTGGGTTCAGAAGCGTAAGCTGTCAGGTCGGATCAATGATGGTATAAGTTCTCTTTCTTTAGGTATCCTGTCTCGACTGCCAGAGTAAGTATACATGTTGTTTTGGCTTAAGATTGTTTTTAGTCACTAAGAAGGAAGAAAAGAGAATTATATATTGAAGTTGTTATTGCTAACCCAAAATGATTAAACAAGGCATCTGGATCTTACTTTGCTAAAATGAAGTTGCATGAAGAGTGTAAATATCTTTCTAATATGTAAGGCTAAATATGACACTTGCAGGATATTTTCCAGCTCCAACTATATTCCTCTATATTTGATCTCGACTGATTCTGGGACTTCAGCTGTCTTGACCATTTCTTATGTTAGACTGTATGTTAAAATCTGAGGATTTTTTCATTAAACTTCAGAAAGAAGAAAACAAAAGAAAAACAATAAACCATGTCCATTATTTTCATTAGCCTTTAAAAATAAAATTTTGTGCATATACCCAGATTGATAGAATCATGAATATGCATGTAATCCAAAGTTCTTTGAACTCAGTCGTAATTTTGTGTTTGACTTCAGTGGATTTTAATGCCTGAGAGAATTGTTGCAAACATGGTCATCTAATCTACTCTCCAATGTAAAGGCCATAAGATTTACTTCAATTAGTTCACAGTGAACAGAGCTGTGTTTTAAAGAAATAGGCACTGTGGATTACTAAATATCCAGTCACAGGAAATCCAGCAAATTTTTTATATAAATTGCTCTAAGTGTTTTTCAGGAGCTCTAACTACTTCCAAGGAATATTATGGTTTAGATCTGCCTTTGCATGATATGAGCTTACAGATGATAGATTTTATTACATCTCTTCTGTTAGAATAGGATTCCATTTCTATTCTCCATGTGTGAATTTACAGGTTACCATCAAATTGCATATAATCTGTTCATTACATAAACAAAAGTTTCTATTATTTGAATTTGACTATATGGTGTATTTTCAAGTTACTAATTATTCCCACAGTCCTTTTTCTGAATCCTTTGCAGTTTTTCAGCCTTCTTAGTGTTGATGTCTCAAGTGCACTCCATTTTTCAGAAATTACTACATCAGTGCCAAATAATGAAGTCATTTGTTCTCTGTTTCTACTTGTTGTTTCTCCCTTTATATATCCCACGTCCTTTGAGCCATCCTTCATCCCCAAATATTTTTTTAGATTTCTGTGGCCTACATTCCTCATTCATAGGCAATATGTTCTTATATTTGGCCACATAGAAATACATGGATTGTACAGTTGGTCGTCCTGGAATACTTTGAATCCATGAAATGTTGTCTTTGTTACTTAGAGATCCGTGGTTTTTGTCATTGCAAATTTTACTAGAAATCTTCTCTTTCAATCCAGGTTATTGATAAAATACATTAAAAGAGCACAGCAACAAAAAAAGTATCCCTTCTGGTTAGTAGCACCCATTTTCTGAAATGTGCAAATCACCCACTTTGTCATCTATTGAACATTTGACATTTACTTGATTTTTTTTTTAAACTTTCTAATCAAGAAAAGTTTTGACAAGGTCTATGTCTGTGCCTTTAAATTATGTACAAAGACAACTTGTGGTGGATTATTTTACTTATCAGTAGTGAATATCATGGATGAATCCTTTTAAGGAGTTTGGTAGATGAATAATGTCACTTAGAGACACTTTCCAAAACTCTTCCTATATCTGCAAGTAAGAGGCATGAGATTTCAGCATGAGAAATATTCAAACATAGTGTCCAAGTTATTTGAGAATTTTGTGAAGCTATTTTTGTAGGTAGCGTACAACCTATATTCAAAGCATCTTGTTGCTTTTAATATGACTTGTGAGCATGATCTTGAAGGAGAAACATTCAATTTTTCCTTATATTGCAAGCTGTAATAACTTAAATATTTATCAATACATTAGACTTGTGTGTACCAACACACAAACCTGATACTCTAGTTTGCCGGCAGCTAATATTGAAATAGGTCAAATGTTGCTTATTCAACTTAACCCAAATTTTCTAGATAGTCATACACTTCACAGGTTTACCATGCTAAATACATATTTTTTTAAGCTGAAATATTCAGGACTGATTAAGTTAAACAAGGGGACTGAGATACATGTAAAGTAAGTTTGAATGGTTTTGCAAGGCCTTTTGGCTTTATTTTAAGAATACTAAAATGCTTCAGATGCACTTATTCCTGGAAGGAAATGCTTGCTAAGAAAACTAGCATTGCATGTGTGGAATGCAGCTTTGCAAGGTGCTGAGTACTTTTATTATTTTGGCACTCAGTACTTTGCTGCAGAATTTGGCTTGCAGGCTATGCATTTTTTCGTTCGACTAAGAATTGTCTTGCAAGATTTTTTCAACTGAGTGAACGAAATGATCCTTACAGACACAAACTTCACAGGATCAGGCAAATCTGCAGGATCGGTACACTTATTCATTGCTACACCAGCACAAGAAGTCTCTTCCATGTTGCTTGTGCAGCTCTCATGGCTGGAAATACAAGACCCTCCTCAGCAGTTCTTTCCAAAAGAGAGTTCTGTAAAGCTTTTAACTTTCTGGCAGAATGTGAAACAAGCAGCCAAAATACAGACTTTGTAATTTATTTAATCACATGTTAATATCAGAATTATAATGGTGACTGCCTACTGTAAAACCCCTTTTGTAAGCAAGAGGAGTTGTGAATAATAGACTGGCTAAATAGGCTTGAACTGAAAAAACAGAACAGTTTACCCTTCTGTCTTCTGCTTCCATGGTGTGAAAGAACTGGGTCAGAAAAAAAAGGAAAGGAAAAAAAAAAAAAGCACATTCAAAATCTATTGCCTAAGACTTTCACTTCAGTCTTTCCCTTTCAGGCAGAAAAAAGGTAGAAAAAAAAGAAAGCTGACAGAAACTGCTAAAACAATATTTCAGCAGAACCCACAGCATCAGGGGAAATAGTAGTGCAAATCATTAACAGCTGAAGGTTAGATTAACACACCATTGATTGTATCCTCTCCCAGGGACTAATTTTCATTTTCTCAACTAGCAGCAATGGTTTGCCACTTCCTTAAAAAAATCTGTGGTTGAATCTAAAATGGTGGGCTTCAGTCTGTTAGTTAGAATGAAGCTACAGATGCATCATTGCAAAGAGGTCTTTACATTTAATGAAAAAATTAGGAGTCACAGACCATATTCAGCCTCTGAGTATGTTTTTCCATTTCACAGTCTGTATAACAGAAGTACTACATATCTTGAGGGAAAACAGTATTTATTCAGTGTTTCTTACTTCATTGTTGGAGAAAATGCAAATCATAAATTGTTGATATTCGTATGCCAAATATTAAAAATGTAGGTGTAAGAGGAAAAGTCTAATTGGACAAGGTAATGTGTTTTGTTTTTAGGCTTATTAGACTCAACAGCATGTAGTAAGTCGAATTGCTTTGTGCGTACATATCGTGTCTTGTAAAATAGCCCGTACGTTTCTTAAATATAATTTTCTCTGCCTTAATGCATACTATGCATTCCTCTGCCTGTATGAATACTAAATGTTATATCCAATGAAAAGTAATTTGGGGGAAAGGGAGAAACTTGAATTACTAAGCTTACTCCCAGCATCCTAAATGTTGGTGGTTAAAAAATTTCTGAGAACTTTTATTCTAAATAAATAACTTTTCTAACTAACCATTGCCAGGAGACTTGAAATGCTGCTTTAAAAATATTCTCCCAAGAGAAAGTTTATTTGGGGTATAAATATCCACTATACAAGTATGTGCATTATTTCATATTGGCCCATTTCTTCTCTTAAAGCAGCAGAACATAAATCAAATCAAAAAGTGTTTGGGGGATAACTGAGGTAGGTACATTTTCAAACTAGTTGGGAAAGTCTCCATTCTTTATGGTCATGCTCAATTGCCAGTTTTTAGTGTTCAAATCTGCAACACAGTCATACAGTGTGTGAATGTATATATGTCTAACACTGTTTTGTCAGTCAAGTCTGCAATGAACTCCATTTCTAAAGAGACCATTACAATTTTTATACATTATTTACTTTGTTTTTTGAAACAGAGGAGATTGAAGTTCTCTGAAGTGGTGTTGAACATCAGAAAGGAATGAGAAAATGCTTTTTGATTACTCCATGCTCTTATGCATCTCAAGATATCTGTACACGGGCAATAATTGAATCAATAATTGAATCCTGTTTCTCCTGTAAACCAGCGTGGTTCACAGTTTTGTACATCATCTGGATTTTAAATAATCTTTTTCCAGAAGTTAGATTGAAGAGACAGTTTCATGTACATTTTAGACCAGCACTGCTGCCAAATGAAGCACATTTGACTCTGGTTGCTCATTCCTGCCTCTGCACCTTCTCTCCCCTTTTGCCAGCATCAGCATTTGTGTCACTGTGTGGTGAAGTGGCCCAGGAAGCAGATCCAGCACCTCCCCATCATATTAACCTGCATCAGTTCTTACTGTGCAAAATCGTGTACCAGAACAAGAAATGGGCTTAGAAAAAAGCAGTCAAGGTTGCAGGATAAGAAATACTCAATTCTTTTGTAGCATTACTGAGTTATCTGCTTTAAAACATACGTAAAATTGCAGACTGAAACCAGAAGTTTTCAGTTCTTAATAGTAGCAATATGCAGAACTGATTAGAATGGACTTGGTTCAAGTTGGTGCAAGCAGTTCACAACCCTGTGGAGCTGGCAGTGTCCTGACAGAACACAAAATACTTGCCTGCATGGATTTATCCATTAAAAGTAGGTCCTGGTTTCCTGAAGTATGTACTAGATACTTCACGTACGACTGTAGAAAATGATGATCTCACAAATTAGTGATTGCATCTCTTAAAAGAAAATTTGATACATGCAGTTCCTCGTAAATTATATTTTCACTTCAAGACTTATTAGGTACATTTTTTTCCTCCGCATCTGTTTGACTAAAGCTTTGGACAGATGTTTATTTAGAGCATGGTCAGATGTGTTGCTTCTGATCCAGCTGCCCCCTCAGATCTGCCAAGGTAACTGCACATTTAATTGCTCCCTAACCTGGTCCTGACAAAGTAATCCAGCTAAAAGCAGAAACAAAAGCCCCCCAAGAA